CGAAATTTCTCTCGTGGTTACATGATTAGGGGTTTGTCATGGTAAATACGTTGTGGTTGTGAGATCTTAGATTCAGATTCAGTCTTTGAGTTAGTCCGTGGTTTGAAATAACCCTTTGAGGGTTAAGTTGTCAAGATTGATTTGGGAATCCTTATATGGATTTTTGGGATAAGGTTTAAGAATGGGTTCGTTTGGAGTAGTAATTATTGAGTTCGGAAATTTCACCTCGGGGTTGATAGCGTCGAGTATTTTTTTGCCTTCTTTTACTTTATGTTCGAGGACGAACATGATTTTTAGTGGTGAATAATGTAATGACCCTAAAGGTCATTTTTGGATATTATCATAAAATGACCGTTTTACCCCTCCCAATAATTGCCCCGAGTCCTAATTGTTGTATTTTCGAAGCTGGTTTGAAGGAAAATTGATGAAAAATTGAGTTTTTGGAAAGTTGAGTTTTTAAGAGTTAAAGTTTGGTTAAAAGTGCTACTTCGAGTCATTTGGAGTTTCGAGACTCGAATCGGATTTCCGTCGATTCCAGCAGTTTTAGAATGTCGAAACGGGTCTATGAGAATTTACGGAGTCGAATTTGGAGTTAAAACGAAGATTTGAGGTCCTAAGTTGCTAAAATTGTAAAATTTTGATCAAGAGTCGACTTTGATAAACAAACGAGGTTCCGGTGCTCGAAATGGAATTTTGAGGGCACCGTTGGATTCAGGGGGTGATTCTAAGTCTAGAATGAGTCTTGGTTGAATTTTTAGAGGCCCCGAGTGCGTTTCGAATTTTTGAGCCTAAAGTTAGTTTCTTGACGCCTTATCGGATACCGGGTCAAGGAGACATCGAATTCAAATTCCGACGATTTCATTGAGTCCGAAATATCATTTTCAAGCTAGTAGCATATTTGGTTTGTGTTTGGAAGTGCCAAATGAGTTTTGGGTGAGCTTTTAATCTTCTTGGATGCTTTGACACTATTTCAGCAAATTGTGGCAACTAAATGGTTCATTATTAGTTTTAAAGGTCGAAAAATTATTTCCAAGGTTCTGAAATTTTAAGCATGAATTATAGGACTTATCTGCAAATTTTGGTGCATTTTCGCTAACCCGAGATTAGACTTTTATCGCAAATAAAAAATAATTGTTTACCGAGTAGAAATGATATTTGACTGGGCAAACGAGCATGAAATTGAGCTCTGATTGAACGAGCAGGTCCGTATCATTATTTAAGACATTTACAAAAAGAATCGGGTCATTTCACTAGCGTATGAGGAAACTACGGCCTTTTTAGTGAAAGATTAACTGCTGTTTTTCTGGTGCATAACAGTCATGTACTGTTATAAAAATCTCAGACTGTGTTCATTTGGTATTTTGAGCATATCGGGAGTTCTAGAGATCGGAATGGAGTGATTCTTACGGGTTTCTTCTTGAATTATTATGAGGGTTAGTATTCAATCTTCAATTCTACATTTTCTCATAATTTCTTTATCAGATTTTTTTTCCCTATCCGTAAATTTCTTGGGAGAAATTGAGGTTTTATCATTTGGACTCCCTTTTTGATGAAAAAGGTATATTTACGATCCTTATGTCATGGGTAAACTGATTTTAACATAAAATTATTGATTCATCGATTATTTTCATCATATTAACCGCGTACAATTTGGACTTTCCCGATAAAGTTAAAGTTTGATAAATCGAGAATTTCAAAGTCGATCTTAACTCTGTTTTTGATGAAATTTCATATTTGAACTTATCTAAGCATGGGAAAGATGTTTTTTCAAGAGATATTTCATTTTCGAGTCGGGGTTTCGGATCCGAATATTTTAGGCTTCTTCAAGAACGTGAATTTTCCTTTAAATTGAGTTTGTGAATTGATTTCAACTCCGTTTTCAAATTAGTTTTCACCATTAGCTTCCAAATACTTTAAGGATCATTTTACATTAAAAATTTCCAGATTTGGGTATCGTTTTCCGATATGACACTTTTGGACCGTTTTGCCCTTTTTCCCTAAATTTCTTGATTTTGGTGTCATTGGACTCGAATTGTGATTGTGATTAATTGTTTGAATAGATTATCGTGATTCAGATTATACTCAGAAAGGAAAGGCTCAAGTCAAGTAACTTTTGGAGTTCGTTGATTTTAATTACATGAGTGGTTAGATAAGTCGTTAAGGAATTTGTACAACTTTACGGAATAGAATTCGGGTGAGTAGTACTTCCGAAATCGATCTTAGCGTGAATTGTATTTTCTTAGCGTCGTTGGTTAAAGGTGTGTTGTGAAATGGGGGTCTTGGAATTATTAAAATAGCTCACTGGTTCCATGTAAGCCGCTGGGGCGGGATTTCTGCCGCTAGGGCAGAGCCGCTTTAGCAGGGTGGGTGCCGCTGTGGCGGGCCAGACGCAACTTAAGGTCGTAAATAAACCCCAAAATGTCTTCATTCTACGCTTTTCGACTTTGAGAGGTGACCTTTTTCACTATTCTTGAGGCTAAAGGTAAGGTTTTAACTCCCCGAATCCATTTTTTGATCCGTAAAACGTAGTTTCTTGAGTAATTATCAATGGGGAAGGGTTTTGATTTATGATTTATGGTGCAAGAATCCCTAATTTGGTATTGGGATCTTGGATTTGGTCTAGGGTTATTGGGTTTGTTATAATCCGGATAATTAGACCTTTGATTGTTGATTCTTGCGGATAAATTGTTGTTTGTAGACCTAGAACAAGCGAAAAGAATCTAGAAAGGGAAGATTCAAGTGTCTTAGGGGATTCAATCTTGGATTCGAGGTAGGTGATGGTTGTGATTTCATGATTGGTTTGACATATGTTTGTAATTGCTCATTATAATACATGTATGTATGTGAATGTTGCATTATTGATCACCCTAATCGTAAATGAGGATAATTGAATAATTGTATGCCATGAATCACCTCTTGTTGCATGATTGCAAGAATATACATTGTGATTGTGATTGTGGTTTGTTGAATGGATCGGTTGCCACGTTCCGCATAAACATGGGATCGGTTGCCACGTTCCGGTATAAATATGGGATCAGTTGCCACGTTCCGGCATAAACGTGGGATCGACTGCCACGTTTCAGCACACTAACTTGGATCGGGTACCACGAACCAGTATGCTAACTGTTTGGGTTTGGGTTCTATGAGTGGACCATTGAATTGGGTTCTGTGCGAGGACCATTAAATTGTGTTGTGTATCTACTTGTGATGATTATGTTCATGTCTAATGATGATTGATATTGAAAGACTGTATGTTGCTCTAAATTGATAACCAATGTGTATTATTGAGAATGTGGGATGCTTCATTGATCATGAAAAGAGGACTAGTATTGTATATGTTCGGTGTATGCCTGTTTTATAATATTGTGGTTACTTGCATGCGTTTTACTTATTGGGATAGCCGTGTGATCCTACCAGTGCACTGTGGTTGTGTACTGATACTACACTTGCTCTTTCTTTGTTGAGTACAGGGCATCTTCAGGTGGCTATTGATAGACCTCAACTAGGTGACTATTGAGCGTGACCGGATTCAAGGGTGAGCCAGTCCTTTCAGGCAGCCATGGATCTCTCTTGTTTAAGTCCATTCTTTTCGGACTCAGGCTATTTGTTTAAGGTGTTTGTTTAGTTTCGGGGTTGTACCCCTTGTTCTTAGACTTGTCGTTAGTAGAGTTTTGGTACAATGGCTTTCAGGCTCTAGGGATTGAATTTCCGCATTAGTTTGGTTAGTTGTTTGTTAAAACCTTGGAGTTTATGGGGACTCCATTTTTATAGTCATTTAAACCTGCTTCTGTATCTCTCCTAGTCTCGCTCGCCTCTTTTCTACCTCTAATATATAGCTATAATTCGTAATTAAGCAAACTATAACTATAAATCTCTAATCAAGTGCAAATTATAGTCATTTTTAAAAGTTTCCTATAATAATATTAATAAGTTTTGGGGGTTCAAAATTTTAGGCCCAAAAGTAAGTGCTTCATTGTACTCTTTTGAGAGTTAAGTGGGCACTAATATTTTTAAAAGGGAAGCTAACATAAATATACTACTCCTTCCGTTCAACAATATTTACTATTTATAGTAATAACATTTTTTTCACTCGATCACTTTTAATACATTTATAATACATTTTTAATACATATTACAGAGAATAATTTATAAAACACATATAATACAAGTTTTTGAATAGTACATTTTAATACATTTATAATATAATGTGTTAATTTCTTACCAAACAAGCATAATATATTTTAAAACAATTATAATACATATATATTGCATACATAATTCACTTTTAATACATATTGCAGATTTATCATAGTATTGCTATATATTGCTATAAATGATAATAAATAAAAAGTATCACTAAAATTAGTAATTATTTATTAAAAGGTACCTATTCAAGTAATTTTTCCATTTAAAACCCCGAGATAAATACTCCTTTTGTCCCAAATGGAGCACGAGTCTATGTTTGATTATAATTTTTGCATATTTATTTGAAATATTATGAATTTTAAATTATTGTGATTTATATCACTTTTATGCAATTTTGTGAATATGTAAATCTTATTTCAATAACATTTGGAAACATTTCTTCCAAATTCACGATTAAAATTAAACTGTTTGACTTTCGAAATTTAAATTGTATCACGCAATTTGAAACGAAGAGAGTAATCTTTTACGTTACATAACAATACGCAAATAAAATAATAAAATTATCTTTCATTTCATATAGATTACTTAAATCTTTTTATATCAGTGATGATAATAAAATAATACATATAATAAAGTATAAACTCAAAGTTGGAAAAGATCAAAAAGAGGAAAAGCTAAAGGTGATGTTATACATTTCTTATAAGCTTTTCTTTCTTGAGGATACGGTGGGGTGGGGTGGGGTGGGGTGACATGCTACTCTTATTTAAACCCCCAAATTTTAGTGCTTCTCTCATTCTTTGCATGTTTTCATAAGAAACCAAGAATTAGTCCCTTCTTTTTTCATTTATTTTCTTTTTCTTCTATCCCCTTAGAAGCACAAAAAATTGAACTTTTTGAAAGAGAAAAGAAAAAAAAAATGAAAGAAAGTGAGAAAATTAATAGTGATATAAATAAGCTAAGCAAGAGCTATTTTGATGTTCTTGGAATTTGTTGTACATCAGAAGTTGTTTTGGTTGAGAAAATTCTCAAGAATCTTCATGGTGTTAAAGAAGTTTCAGTAATTGTCACAACAAAGACTGTCATTGTTACTCATGATTCTCTTCTCATTTCTCAACAACAAATTGGTAAGATACATATAATTATTAATATTATGTCTGTTTTAATTTATGTGACTTATTTTCTTGGTGTGTAAAGTATCTCACATGAACGTAGAATCTGGAAAAGAGTCGCATCAAAGTGATAATTCTTGTCAAGATATCACAATTCATATTATAGTTTGTTTACTTTCTTTGCACTTAGACGAATCAGCCAAAAAAAAAGACCATAGGCATAATAATTCGATCTTTATATTTAAGTGCTCTATATTTTTTTTCTATCTTCTTCTTCATCTTGTGTTTGATACACTCTTTGTTGTAATTTATATAGCTTATTTTTCTTAAAAGAGAAGAATGATATTTATAAATTTAATATTGATTTTTTTTATTTAAATAGTTTGACTGACTTGTTGATTTAAATATTATTTTTGATAAATTATATATATTTTTAATTTAAATTTTATATTTATGTCAAATTAAAAGAACATGAAATGGAGGGATTAATATTTGCTTTTTTTTCCCTTCCCTAAATTTAATTAGGTGGCACTGTTCGCTTTCAATTTATTAAAAAAATAAAAATAATAACGAAATAATTTAACTTTATACTTGACGTCTTGCCTTGAATGACATGATTGTGTAAACACACAAATGTCATAACATATTTAGTATTATTACTTTTAAATGCCTTTTATCCTGGCCAATCAGATCATATAATGAAAGGAAAAAAATTTGATATATGCATTTTGTTCTTTAGAGCTAATATTCTTTCGTTATAAAATTGCATCTTTTTTGTTATATAAATGATTTATATATAGCTGCAAAAAATAGTTTTAAATTAATATAGCCACAAAAATATTAGTTTAAATATTTTTCTTACTTTTTCTTTTAATTCATTTACAGTTTTTTTATTTATTTTTCATATTTCTACACAAAAAAATGAAGGAAAAAAAAATAAGAAGAAAAAACTCAAATAATGATAATTAAAGAAGTCATTCATATGCCAGAAAGATCATATATTCTCATAAATTATTTTTAAAAAAATCAAAATTTGAAAATTAAAATTTAAAATTCTTTTTTTACTTTCATTAGATGAAAATGATATATGTGTGACATTATTGTAACGAAGAGGTATATGTGAACTACTTTTATAATAACAAAACTATATATAAGTTATTTTTTAAACAAGAATATATCAGTTCTAAATAACAAAATTAAAATTAAGGGGTAATAGAATAAAAGGAGTACCACTCTTCATCTTCTCTTGAGTGACTTAATTTGTTTTTAATTAATTTAAAATAAATAATTAAGAAGCGATTTTTTCATTTATTCATGTGATGTTTGTGATTTTTAATTAATTTTTTGGTAATAGAAATCACCAAAATAGGAAGCAGAAACGGTTTTCATTTATTCATGTGATGTTTGCTGATACCATTCTTAGTATTATTAGATTGAGTAATTAAGACGGAAGAAAAAGTATGAACTATTTTTATTTTAATTAATTGCATAATTTGTCTTTTAAATGAATTGATTTTTAATTTTTATTTTTAGAAATTAAAGTTATGTCTAGTAGTACCTAAGTTCTTTAAAAGTGCCGAACCTAATTTATAAAATATTATTATGTAAGAATATAAAGTTATACTTTTGAAAAAATTATTTGTTTTGAGGAACGAAAGTTAACTTTCGAAAAATCTAAACATGTATGAATTCTCTTTTGGGTAAAAAAAAGAAAAAAGAAGAAGAAGTTGGGTTGAACAAATTCATATTACTTGTTAGGTTATATTTCCTAACACTCTTGATTTTTTTATATTTAATTATAATTTGATCATAAATCTCTCTATTTTATCTTTATTAAAATGATTTGTCCACGAAAATTTCATAGTCTTAAAAAAAAATTAATATTTTTAAAATTACGTGATCAGTCAAACTCCTTTACATAAATTATTACCAAAGGAGATATTAAAAATAGTGAGTGATGATTTGTCGTGACCACCAAAGTGTGAAATCAATCCCAAAGATTTACAGAGTATCTTCTTATTTTAATTTTTTTAAATAAAAGGGTATCACATATCAAGTAAGGATCAGAGAATATTTGTGTGATAATTATTCTAATAAATCTAAAAACATTACACGTTTATGTGTTGTAATTAGTTCTTAATAAAAATAATTAATAAAACTAATTAGTTGGCTTTCCAATGTTTCCATCTTGTCACACCATATATGTTCCCTACATACGTGTTTCCACTTCAAAACCTCTCCTCCATTAGCCCTCTGACTTATTATCGATATCAGTAACGAATTTTGGATTTTTATTAAGGAAGTTCGAGAAAATAAAAAAAATATAATATTTGAGATTTAAATTAAATTTGCAATCTTAAATGGTAAATTTTGAATCTTCTAAACTACGAATCCAACCTTTATTCTTGTATTCTGGAAATTCAAAGTATATATATATGCATATATAATTTTTTGTCAAGAAAGTTCGAATGAATACCTTTGATCCCTCCTAAATCCGGCCCTATTAGCTTTCTAGTTGTTAATAATTTGGTGATGGGGCTTTATTGAATTCTCAAAGAAAATATTTTGACTCATTTGTGGCTTTGCACCTTCTTTGTGTTGAAGAGTAGTTGTAGGAACTTACCCCCTTTTTAGCTAAATTGCACCTTAATGTAAGCATTTTTTAATTGATAAGAGCAAATGAAGAACAAAATGATACATTTTTATATTTAGTAATAATTTAATTTTAAAATTCTCATTTTACCCCGAACGAAATGATTTATAACCACACAAACATCTTACTCTATACAAAGTCAAACTGCATCACATAAATTGGAACAGATGAAGAACCAAAAATAGTTATTGTAATTTGTTATTAACTTCCATTACATGAGTTGATATATCTTTAATTTTACTAATCATTGTAATTTTTTTAATTTTATTTTGTAGTTAAAGCATTGAATCAAGCAAGGCTAGAAGCAAGTATAAGAGTGAAAGGATTGCAAAACTACCAAAAGAAATGGCCAAGTCCATTTGCAATTGGTAGTGGAATTTTTCTTGCTCTTTCATTTTTGAAGTATTTTTTCTTACCTCTCCAATGGTTAGCACTTGTTGCTGTTGCTGTTGGAATTCCCCCTATTATTTTTAGGGGTATTGCTGCCATACGCAACTTCACACTTGACATCAACATTCTTGTATTAATTGCAGGTACTTTCCCTTATTTTATTCTTTAATTATTGTCGTGAATATAGGACAGTAAAGTTGTCGCTATGTGACCTATAACTTGTCATGAGTTTGAGTCGTGAAATGATTGATCGTGAATGATTGCATCAAAGTATGACGACTCTTTTTTTTAATCTTGTGTGAATACATAATGTTTTGTGCATCTGATTAGAGTATGATGACTCTTTTTTTAATCAGGTGTGAATACAAAATGTTTTGTGCATATGGTTGTTTAGAATTGATACATGGTCCTACTATTAAGCTTTGTGATGGAAATTTGTCTCTTGCTTTTGATTTATTAGCTTGGATATACACTCTTTTATTGTGGTGCTTGAATCTTGATTCTTGATTATGCTTTGTGATTCATTATATCATTAATAAGCATGAACCATATAGGGGAATTAGATATTGTATATTTAATAATGCACCTTTAACTAACACACAAGATTGGAGTGAGAGGGATGATTCTTGGGGTTTTAGATGCTAATGTTATTGGACCACCTAGTATCTTTAAAAAAAAAATGAAATCATGGGATGATTGATAGTGTATTTTATGTGTATTTTCAAGTGACCTAGTACTACTAAAAAGTAATCTTCTTTAATCCTATCACTACTAGAAATACTCATTTTCTCAACAATGTTCCCATCTAAATCTCCTAATAAGAATTATGGGATTAATTATAATTTGCTTATTTTAGAACACTGTCATTTATGCATTGGTTTTATGAAAATAACAAGTATTAATGAACATCTATTTTTAATAAGAACGACATGTATTAATTATGTATAAAATATGTATATTATGTACAAAAACAAATATGTATAAACTATTATTTTGATGTGGGAGTTAGAAAATCCCTAAAATGAATGCAAAAGGCAAGATGTGATGTGATTTGGAAAAAAAGAATAAGAAGAATTTGAATCCCACACAAGTTTTGTCTATTAAGGAAAATTACAAAATTGCTTGTGTAATTATCACAATATATATACCACAAATGGAATTCCTAGGTGTAAAGCACCAAATAAAAAAAGGTGCCAACATTAGTAATGTGTAAATGTGTAACGCTTCTCCTTTTCCCCTCAAATAATTGCAAAGAAAATGACTTTAATTTGCACCAACACTTTCTTGCCCTTTTATAGATTATAGAAAAAAAGTTGATTTGACGAGTACTTTCTCCGTTCCTTTTCAATTATCATGAGTTTTTTTTACTGTTAAATAATAAGAATTTTAATTTTACGATATATTTTTCATCATATTAATATGCAAAAAAATTGTAATTTATAATACTTCTCGTATAGTTTTTGAATATCTAAATTTTTAGTTTAAAATATCGAATTAATGTAATCCAATTTAACTTTAAAAAATAGTGAAATTGACTTTCGAAAAGCACAACTAAAAGAGGATGGAGGGAGTATCAAATTTCTTTGTCATACTCTTTTCTTTTCATTTTATATGTCTTAATTTGACTAAATATAAAATTTTAAAATAAAAATAAATTAAGTGTGCATATATAAGATATTAATTTTTTTTAAAAAAATTTATAATCTTAAATTGGCACGTGGGGAACATTTTTATATATGTTCACTCACTTAATTGTAATCGTTGTGGATATATGCCCATAGTAAGTAAACGAAGTGTATAACAAGAGTAAAATATTTTACATATAAACAGTGTATATAATGTATACATACTAATTATATGCAAATTATATTAGCTTTAATTTGTAACTAAGAAAAATCGTTTTTTTTTGTGGGCTTTATTGGGATAATTCCAAATGCCAGTCTCCAGACAGTTAACTGAGTTCCCCAAAAATGAATTAAAAAAATTTGAAGCTAGAAAATAAGCACTGAAGATTTCTTTAAAGTTCATTTTCTATTTAGCATAAAGTATAATGTCCTCCATTTTTCTACAGAGGTAAAAATAAAAGCAATTTTGTTCATAACTACAATAATGCAGTTAGTGTTGTTTGAGAGTCGGTTAGAGTTATATACTGATATTAATAATATAAGGGGTGGTTTGGTAGTAAGTTAGAGTTATGTAGTTATTAGTAAGGTAGAGATTATTTATGAGTGAATATATATATTATAGCTATTATGCAAGAATTAGATATGCATGGATTAATTATTCATGTATTAGTTATTCCATTTTCTGTCCTGCATAAAATAATAGATAGATTCTCTCATAACTTACACATGGGAATACTACTTATGCGAGTTTCTAAATTGTCAACCAAACATCATACTAATTTTATACATGAATAACTTATTTTCTATCTACCTACTATGTTGTATAAGTTATATGTAAATTAATACATGAATAACTTGTTTCTTATCTAGCTCCCAAACAACCCTTAAGGATTAATTATGAAAAAAATTATGTATTATTTTAGATGCAAAAATTAGTTATTCATTTATTAGTTATACATGTATTAATTATCCAACCTTCTATGAACATGCATAAAACGATACACAATTTTCATCATAGCTTACACATTTATTACTTATGCACAGTTTTTATATTGTAAATCAAACACCATATTACCTATAAAGAAATTTACCTGCGTAACTCACGTTCAGACCAACTACCCGACAACCCCTTACTTACTAGATGGAAAATTTGAGGTGAAAAGCACAAAGGTGACTTTTCCTTAGGCATTTCAAAAACTTTATCTTTAAAAAAAGTAGAAAGATAAGATTCTTTGTAGAAGAAAACGTCACTAAAACTCTTATTAACTTCTATCTTTATGAATTGTGATGTATCTTTTTGACAAATGCTTAAGAATCTTGTTGCTTTTACCATCTTTAAATTGAGGGGTGATTGTAGAAAAAACAAAATCGATAATTCTTTTAATTTTTTATTTTTATTTTAATTATAAAATTCGACAATATTTAGTTTGATTTGGTGCTTTAAAAAGCGGAGGCGTGAAGCGAGGTGTTTTACGTAACATAGGGTAAGGCGTAAGCCTCGAAACACAGGACGTAAGTACCATGAATTTACGAAACATATATCTCATTTGTTTTCAGTTTTATAATTTTATTACTAAAAAAATAAACAAAAAGTGAAATTTTGAATAATTCTGCAAATAAATTCAAATAAACACCAATAATATAGAAAAAAAATATTATAATTATTATTTAAGAAAGATAATAATAATTTTTTTTATAATAACCGAGATAATATTTAAAGTAAAATCATCATCCATTTCATATCTCCGCATCTACTAGTCACAAGGTATAAATATAATGAGAATAGTGATTGGAAAAAATAAAAAATGAAGGTACAAAATACAAATATTAATTTTATGACTTGTTTTGTGATGTGCAGTTGCTGGATCAATAGTTTTACATGATTATTGGGAAGCTGCTACTATTGTGTTCTTATTCACTATTGCTGAATGGCTAGAGTCAAGGGCAAGTCACAAGGTTGGTGAATTTTTGTCCTCATACAAGAAAATTGAAATGTATATATGTATCATGTATATATGTATACGCCACATCGAGCCCAAAATTGCACATACCATGTTAAAAGTTTGCTAGTCATTCTTCTTGACTTGCACTCGTTTACTCGCCCTATGTCATGAGTGTGCCACATACACCCCCTTAGGAAATGAGTGTCCTTGCTGAGGTTTGCCTAACTATCATATTGTATGAGTCTGTTTCTGATATCATATTTGCCACAATCAAAGCACATAGTACATATTGTCCGCTAATTTGACCCAAACAGATTTATCTCTTAGGAAACGCCTCGTCAAGCTCAAACGTGCACGTACCATGTGAAAATGTCTTTCATACTATATATAACACGTTTTCCCTCTCCCTTTGCATGGTGCATTTTGACTAAAGGTATCATTTGCACCCCTTGTTCGAAAGATTGCCAATGAATGTTTTGTGTCTGCTACGCTAAGTTTGTATCGTTATTTCATTATGATGACAAAATAAAACCTTCATGGTTATGTAGGCTACTGCTGTTATGTCATCACTGGTGAACATAGTCCCTCCTACAGCAGTTTTAGCTGAAAACGGAGAAGTAGTAAATGTTGATCAAGTCAAGTTGAATAGCATTCTTGCTGTGAAAGCTGGTGAAACTATACCAATTGATGGAATTGTAGTCGAAGGGGAATGTGATGTGGACGAGAAAACTTTGACTGGGGAGTCATTTCCAGTTTCTAAGCAAAAAGACTCGACGGTCTGGGCTGGAACTACAAATCTAAATGGTAAGATAGTATTCATTCATACTTCAATTTTTGAAGTTTTACAACTTCAAGTATTGTTTTTTAATTGAAATTTGCTCCTTTCTTCAGGTTATATCAGTGTTAAGACTACAGCTCTGGCTGAAGATTGTGCGGTGGCTAGGATGGTGAAACTTGTAGAAGATGCACAGAACAAGAAGTCAAAAACTGAAAGATACATTGACAAATGTGCTAAATATTACACACCAGGTTAGTTATAAATCTTTCATAATTATATGTGAACTCGTGTTCTGTCTTATTAATCACTTCATTGTCCTCGGAAGCTTGCCATTAGTCTAACAGTCATTCTCTTTTACCCGTCCTCATTAGCCTGCCTTCCGTCATGGGACTCACACTACCGCATTGCTCTTTCCCTTAAACTACTTATTTCCAATACTTTAGTCTGATTTCAGCTGGTGATATTTTGCAGCAATTGTGGTTATAGCTGCTGGTTTGGCAGTAGTTCCTACCGCATTAAGGGTTCACAACCGAAAAGAATGGTATCGCTTGGCTTTAGTTGCTTTGGTGAGTGCATGTCCATGTGCACTTGTGCTATCTACACCAGTTGCTATGTGTTGTGCACTTTCAAAGGCAGCAACATCAGGTCTTCTGTTCAAAGGAGCAGAGTACCTTGAGACTCTTGCTAAAATCAAAATCATGGCTTTTGATAAAACTGGGACAATAACTCGAGGAGAGTTTGCAGTGACCGAGTTCAGGTCTCTCATTGATGGCCTTAGCCTCAATACACTTCTTTACTGGTAAGGTTACTACTCATACATGTCATTTTAAAACTCGAGGAGAGTTAGCATTTCTACCACTCTCAGTGGAGTAATAACGTTTTCTTAACATTGTTGATAGTGATAATGTTATATAACAGGATTGATTTGTGGCATATATTCATAAAAGATGAAACTAGGCATGCCACATTCTCATACTGAAGTATCTGAAATGGCTCTCCGTGGTTCACGATAGAGTCAAAGTAGCATGTTTGGATCTTATATTATCTAGTGAATGTTTTCAGGGTTTCAAGCATTGAGAGCAAGTCAGGTCATCCGATGGCAGCTGCTCTTGTCGACTATGCACAATCAAATTCTGTCGAGCCAAAGCCTGATAGAGTGGAGCAGTTTCAAAATTTTACTGGTGAGGGAATATATGGAAGAATTGATGGAATGGAAATCTATGTAGGGAATAGAAGGATTTCTTCAAGAGCCGGATGTACTACAGGTAAAAGGCTGATCTTGATCTTCTTTCTTGTGCTTATAATCATCGCAATGATAGAACACACGGATCATAATAGAGACATGAAAAACTCTCAGAAGTATGTGATTTCTCTAGTTAATTTTGCGGATATCCGTGACCTGTTTTAGCCTTGAAATTTCAGTGCCAGAACTAGAGGGTGACAGTATACAAGGAAAGTCTGTTGGATACATATTTTTGGGATCCTCTCCAGCTGGAATTTTCAGTCTTTCTGATGTTTGTCGAACTGGCGTAAAGGATGCAATGAGAGAACTGAAGCAGATGGGAATCAAAACTGTGATGCTCACTGGTGATTGTTATGCAGCTGCCAACCATGTGCAGGATCAGGTATATTTAATCGAAAATCTAAAAGTGCTTCTAGTTTATACAAATGAGCTAAGTCGAAACGTATTTGCAGTTAGGTGAAGCTTTGGATGAATTTCAAGCAGAACTCTTACCAGAGGAAAAGGCAACAATCATTAAGGATTTCAGAAGGAAGCTCCAACAGCAATGATTGGCGACGGACTTAATGATGCTCCTGCATTAGCAACAGCTGATATTGGTATCTCAATGGGTATCTCTGGGTCAGCGCTTGCGAAGGAAACAGGACATGTTATACTAATGACAAATGACATTGGAAGGATACCGAAAGCTGCACGTCTTGCTAGAAGAGTTAGAAGGAAAATAATTGAGAATATGATAATAGCAATTGGTACAAAAGGTGCCATAGTTGCATTGGCAATAGCAGGTCATCCGTTGGTTTGGGCTGCTGTCCTCGCAGATGCTGGGACATGCTTGCTAGTGATTTTGAACAGCATGCTACTGCTGCGAGGAGCTACACGTAGACATGAGAAAAAATGTTGTAAATCTTCTACTTCTTCGCATGCTCACCACCACAAAAACAAAGCTTCTTGTTGCAAGTCAGAAAAGGCTCCTCAACTATGTTGTTCTGATATTGAGTCACAAAAAGAATGTAGAAAGCAATCATGCTCGTCTGAGGTGTGTGTTCAAAGACATCAACCTTTCCCCTCAGGATCAACGTCGAGTGGAAATAATCAACATCATTCTCATTCGCATCCTCAGTGTTGCTCATCCAAGATGTCTGTTACAGCATGCAAATCTGCAGTTTCAGAATCAAAGTCATGCGGAAGTAACAATTGCTCAGACACCATTCACAAGAGTAGTTGTCATTGTTTGACAAACTCCTCAATAAGTTCTTCAGATTCGTCTGCTCCTCAATGTCATGTTGCCACTTCAAGCTCCAAATCATGTGGAAGTACCAAGTGCTCCAACTTAATTGACAAAAATAGTTGTCGATCTCACGAAATTCCTCAAGCGTGCTCTACCAAGAAGGCTGCTCATGGATGCCACTCTGAAGTTTCTGGTCCTAAATCATGTGGAAATAGCAAGTGTTCTGACTCAAGAGACAATAATATCCATCATTCACATTCTGATCATCAAACATGCGCGTCCAAGGTGTGTGCTCCACAAAGTCCATCTGCAACTTCAAGCTCAACGACATGTGGAAATACAAAGTGCTCGGACACCACTAGCAAGAATTCTTGTCATTCACATGCTAACTCTGAACCATTCTCTTCAAAGAAGTCTGGTCCAGCATGCCAAAATGCTAATTCAGGTACGACTGTAGTCTACTTCTTATTCCTTTTCCCTCCTTAAACCAAACGATAGGATCGAAAGTATTATTTGGCCTTCTGTCTTCCAATACAAGGGATGGTTAAACCTGAAATCAGGTAGTCTATATATTAGATAAATATGCCACTCTAACACATAGGCTTTCACATACTGCATTCAGAGAAGAGCAGCCAAGCTTTATTCATGAGAACAAACAAATTAAAGTTTTTTTTTTTTGAAGCATAAGGTGCAATAATGAGAATTATTTGTTGATTAGCTTTGATATTATCAGGTTCGAGGTCATGTGGAAATCACAAGTGCCAAGACTCTGCAACCGAGCACGGTGTTCATTCACTTACTGATCCAGTCTCCAAGGAAAAGATTTCGGAGCAGAAAAGGTTGGTTTTAGAATCAAATCATGATCTTAGTCATGGCTGCTGTGAAGAGGAACATGATCATCATCCAAATTTAGACAAAGCATATGACAGCTGCGCATTAGAAGAATGTCGTTATTCGGTTCAAGGAGATATAAATGACATATCAGAAGCTGGAATCCAGGAAACTTCTCATTGTGATAGCACCAATCAAACATGTCAAACTGTAATTTCAGGTAGGCACAACCTTTACTCCTACAATAAAATGTTTGATTAAGCAGTGCTATATCGATCATGTCTATAAAAAAAAACTACTAGTTAATCAAGATTTGAGAATTTTCAGGCTCAATGAACTGTGGAGATAATAAGAGCCTGGACTCTGTAGACATCCATGGATGTCATTCACATGCTCATCCATCCCACAAGGAGGAACCACATCATTCTGTTGGACATGGCTGTTCGGACAAGGAACACGATCATTCACATCCAGAGAAAGCATATGACAGTTGTGCAACACAAGATTGTTGTTTTTCAGTTCAGGACCATAGCATTGACATATCCGAAAATGGAACTGCTCATTGTGACAGTATTAAACAAAGCATGGTCATTCCAAGTAGCTGCAAACATACACCACAAGATCAGGTAAGTCACTGTGGATTTCACTCTACAACTACCCCTACTGATGAAGAACTAGCCAAGCTGGTTAGAAGATGTTGCAATTATAGACCATGCCACGAAGTCCGCTCTGTTTACAGAAAGCATGCTGCAGAATGTGGTCCAACCACCCGATCAACCATCAATATCTTACGGGACAACCATCATCATCATCTAGACTGCAGTGGTCGTAAGGTTTGTTCGCCAATTGAGAAGAGACACATTGGTGGATGCTGTGAAACCTTCAGAAAAGAATGTTGCCCCAAGAACAATCATTTTGCAGCAACTTTTGGAGGAGGTTTATCAGAAATTGTTTTAGAGTAAGATGCAATCTTAAAGTGTAAATATGTTGCAACTTTTCTACCTATTTTATCTTCAAGAAGCTGAGATGCTATTTTGTATTAACATAGCTATTACAATGGCTTGTATATTAATCCTAAAAATGGTTTGTGTATTTGCTGAATTCTAACAATGTTGGAAACTTCAATGTCATTTACATGAAAAAATCAGCTCATGTTCAAGGCCAACTATGCTTATTTATGCACAACTAAATTTTTCAATCCTATTATATATCCCGGTCCAAAATTCAAGGTCATGATGATACCTATCCTAACACGGTCGGTAGGTAAGCCAAAGCCTCCTCCAACACAAAAACACTTGAAAAAACTCTAAAGAAGTAAAGCAATAGATTAAATAGACTTAAAGCTCGATCATTCATAAGTAAAGATATATGAAATGCAGAAGTTAAATAAATCCCAAAACCTAGTGTCACCGGTACAAACGTTGCTAAAGATAGTAAAATTGTCCACTACTACAAGAGTAGTATTGAGTACAAAACACGTGTATCCCATAGGCATCACGCCGATCGAGAAAGAGTTGACAACCATATCGTAAAAAGAATGCTAAGACCAAGGGGAATTCAAGACTTAAAGTTGTTCTTGACATCTAAAATCATATATTAAGAAATTATTATAAATGCCCAAAGGGATTCAAACCCTCATCAAGGAGGGAAAAAAAAGAAGCTTAAGTGGGTTCCATTTCTACCATTGGACTAAGAGGTTAATTTGCTACGGAGTTCCCAAATTTTGTAGGTTTTTTCAATATAAATACTGAGTTTGCATAAAATTTATAGGGTTCTCGAGAAATCCGTATATTCCCATCCAACACCATTTCCTTTCCTGTTGGGCTATAATTGGTATTTATCATCGGCCTCAAGGCTTGAAAACAATACTCAAGGCTTTAGTAACTCATTGTTGAAAATCATTTCAAAAAGGACTCAAAATCAGTTCACAATCACCATTTTACTAAGTTCTTGGGTTCTCCCCAAATTTCTCATTTCAAAAGCTTGATTTGAACACTTAAATTCATGAATAACAATGGGTAATAGAAGATTAGAATTAAGAATCATTACCCAATTGTTTAATTATTTAAAGATAATTTTATTTGTGGATTTGATCAACAAGTAGTAACACTAACACCATGTAATATTGTCTTGTCGATATTTATGATAATATTTTAAAATTATAATTTGATTTAAAAAATTATACTTTTAAAAAAGTAGATTGACCTTGCACAACTCATAGCCCACGTACTTGTGAATTGAGCTAACCATTTTTTGGCCTACAAAAAAAAAGGGCTAGCCTGACCTGGGCCATCAAATTTCAGAGTCTGTATGAGTTAGCCCAAATAGGATAGATCAGCCCATATTGACAGCTCTATTCACCACACTCCAAAAACTCACAATTGTTTGTATTAATAAGATCAGCAAAAACCTTTGTAATACTGGTGTGCTAGAGAACTCAACTCACTAATCATTGATGCTTGATGGTATAAAAGGAATAAAAATAAAATCATACTAGTTATAAACCTTATTGGGAAAAGTCAGAGATTAAAAAAAAAAGACCAATACCAATTTACTTTACTAGATTTAGTAGATCTCATATGTCATCTATAGATAATTTTTAAATTTTCAATGAGAAAAATATTTACAAATATCTTTGTTCAAAAAAAAGTAGAAGATCGTATCTATTTATTAAAGAATTAATAGTAATTAAATTTCAACTATCCAATTTAAATAAGAGGATCTGTAATAAAAAAAAAGCCAAATTTAAGTTGAATGAATGTCAAAATTTAGACTCCACTTTATATTCAGGAAAAATCTTGTTAGGTAGAAATATCTTTTATAGAAAAAAAAGTTATAATGCATTTAAGAATGTGAGATTCTATAATTAGTTTTTTGGCAAAAACTGTATAAGATAAATTAATAAGTCAAGATAAATTATTTTTGACCAAAAAATTGTGTGTGAACTGGTTAAGTAATTAAGCATATAAATAAGTATACAACTAATTGTGTTCTAATTACACTCTAGAAGTATACAAAACAATCGAAGGATGCAAGAAATCTGAGGTATAGTTTATTTTTTTCTTCTTTCGTTGATTTGTTTGAAAAATAGATTTCTATGTTCTTTGAACTCTATCTTCTTTTTCTCATTTTAATAATTTTATATGAATTATTCGGCCTGGTGTATTGTGTGTAGCTGTGTAAAACTTAAAAAAAAACGAAATTCTTCTTATTACCGAACATTTTAGAAATGGTGCAAACTAATAAAATCATGTAAACCGAATAAATTAAAATTCATAGTTGATAAATTGTGCATTAAATTTAATTTTAGATCTAATGCTGTTATACATGTGAAATTCATTAGATCTAACAAGCTATTTATAGGTAGATATATCTATGTATAATGTTTTATTAGGATACACAAACATAAAATTCTGTCATACTTTAATTGAATAATTTAATTTACAATCTAACTTTTTCATCTACATTAGAGATGTATCAATTCTATGTGGCTTTCCCCTATGTAGAAGCATTTTTTTTTTTTTGATGAACTATAGGAAGGTTTTGAAAGACTTTTAATCCATAATGACTTTGAAATATGTATTTGTCTTTATTTGCTTAAAATATGGACTAAAGTTTGGCTTGTATTACATACACAAAATGATGAACATGAATCATTGTGGTAAAGAAGTGATCGTTGAAGAAAAGGAGATAGACAAGATCTCTAATTTACCTAAGGATATTTTCAATGAAATATTTAAGGACATGTCAATTCGAGAATTGACAAAAATGTGTGTTCTATCAAAGAAATGGAAACATTTCTCAGCTATGATGAAAAGTTCATGGAAGAGATTGAATATGATTTTTATAACATAGTTGACAATAATATTATCTTGCAGCATGTTGAATCCATAGTCAAATTTGTTCTGGATTTGTAAACTATATTTTGCGATCATCGAAACCTTGACCTTTGGTTACTTATGTAACAAAAAAAGATGTCAAGGAACTTACCTTAAATAATTACAACCACAATCCTTATACTTTGCCTTTTGACATATTTTCTTGCTCAACTCTCAAGTATTTAGATGTTATCAATTGCATAGTAAACCTACCTTGTCCCACCACATTATTTCCAAATCTCCATGAATTGAACTTGGAGTTCATTACATTTAATCCAACCATAGCAAATCACGTCTTGAATATCCCATTACTTTCAACCTTAACATTCACTTTTTGTGATGGCCTTCATTTCCTCAACATATTTGCTCCTAAGATCGAGTTCTTGACTATTCATGAGAGTCATGAAATTCGTGCAGATTTTTTTGATAACTTTTCAGATATTAGGGTGTTGTGCATGGTCTTATTCCTTGAAGAATCAGGAAACTATGAACAAGGGAGGTTCATTACATGGTCAAGGCTTCTTTGTTTAGGCCCTAATTTGACCAGGCTTGCTTTGAGTAATGCTTGTATTCGGGTAAGTATAAGTTGATCAAGACATATTTCAAAATTTTATTATAGAGATCTCAATGAATGTTTAAGCTCATATATACTTAACCATTAATTTATTTATTTTCATTTTGGTTTTTTCTTTTACCAAACTTTTGGGTGCAGAAATTATTCCAAAGAGTTTTCCATCCAAACTCCACCATTTGGAGCATGTAAAGTTGCGCATTGAGATTGGTGATCTAAACCAAGTCTCTAGTGTTTTTTCCTTGATTGGAAGTTCTCCTTCCGTGCGCTCACTAGAGATGGATGTAAGATTATCTCACCTTCAATAATTTTCGATTGAGTTTAATTAAGTTATGTATACATCAATAGTATTGTAAGAAATTTTACTCTATTGTAAACCAAGTCTCTAGTGTTTTTTCCTTGATTGGAAGTTCTCCTTCCTTGCACTCACTAGAGATAGATGTAAGATTATCTCACCTTCAATAATTTTCGATTGAGTTAAATTATGTATACATCAATAGTATTGTAAGAAATTTTACTCTATCAACTAACTTTTACGTGTTGTAGTAAATTATCTGTCTTATTTTAAAGTGTTGCTATAAGTGTAGAAGTTTTTACACTAATGCATTACTAACCTTTTTTTCTTTTTGCACCATATGAAATTCAATAGGTTTTCAATACCATGAGTACAAGAAGCACAAATGAAGTTATACATTATCTAGCCAATCCAAATTGTATTGACCAACAATTTGAGAAGCTTGAATATGTGAAACTAAAAGAGTTTGAGGGGACACCATGTGAACTCATTTTCTTGAAGCTCATGTTGGCGAATTCCCCTTCACTTTCCAAGTTGATTGTTGGACCTTCTAATGAACTTGATGAAGCCAAGGTAGTGAGTTTTCGTGAACAACTAATGATGTTCTTAAAATCATCAACACAAGTAGACCTCATCGTAGCACCTTATGGTCAAAATGTATATAGAATGAGTGCACGAAGGTGGATCCAAAATTTTAATTCTATGAATTTGTGATTCTAATACTAAAAAGTGAACCCATCATCTTGTTTATGTTAGGGATTCCTTTCATGCTTTGACTTTTAATATCATGTCTCAATGTTAAAGTTCATTAATGAAACTTGTGATTTATTAATTAAAGAAAGAAAATACTATATATATGAAGTCTAATATTCAATAACATTTTATCACGAGAGAACAAAGTACAATGAGATTAATTGTCATTTTATAAGAAGAAAAAATTATACAAAAATTAGTTTTATAAGAAGAAAAAATTATTTTAAAAAGATGAGAATTACCTTCTAAGACATTACTTTAGCTAACTTTGATAGTTTAGGGGTTAGAGATAGTTCCTATTAAGCAAGGGTTTGTAATTAATCTAAAGATATGTTGAGGCTCACTGTTTTAGTGAAGTTGGGACAAATCTTGTAGTGAAGTAGGTCACACTTTTTCACTTTTGTGAGCCGGATATTTTTCACGTTAAATTAATAAACTACTTTATTAATTTTGTGTACAACATATGTAGTACAACCATATCTTGGTACTGTCACTCTTGTACACAAAAAATCTACATTTGGTCCTACTTCTGATATGTTTGAATTTCTGTTGGGAGATTTTATAGAAAAATGTTGTATAACAATAATGGAATATA